AATATATCTCGAAAAAACCATTTACATACACTTCTTCTATCCATCCACCATACAAATATATCTGGACAAAAGACTATAGAAAATAGAAAATGATTATATTTATAACAACAGAAAAAAGAAAAAGAAATGATAATAGATGTAAAACACTTGTACGTACACGTGAGTGTGTACGTATAAAAGTGCAGTTAATATTATAGAGAGGAAGAAAGAAGTCTGTCCTCTTTTGTCTTTTTCTGACGAGTGAGAGTGAACGTTGTCTCCCTTCTGCCGCGCAGAGGCTTCTCACATAAGAAGACTAGGAAACACCATACGCTTTCTCTGTTCCATCTTTTTTTCTTTCTCTTTTGCTAATTACTATCTAGTTTTCTACTTTTATCTTTTCGATCACGCGGAGAGCAACAAATTTAACCGATGTTTTGGTCTTTTTCCCACCACAAAAACAACAACCGTTTGTTTTGTTTATTTTGTGTGAAAAAGTTAAGAAAATATTTATCACATTCAGTTTATAAATACATGTTGTTGATGCCATTTCGGCAGAAAAATAAAGAGGGAAAAAACAAAAATTCTTCTTATGCGAGACACCGCTACGAGGCAGAAGGGAGACAACGTTCACTCGGATGATATTTATCGTCTGATTGCACGGCTAAGTATGTCATCAATTATTAAACTTCGCTGCTTGTTTAGTTTTTCCTCAAAATCATCCTCTTTCACTGTGAGGAGAACACGTGAAATTTTCCATAGGAAATAGAAAACTCTCTAACTCTAGAGTAATCGTGTATGTAAGTAAATAATCGTGTACGTAAATATAATCAAACACCAACATTTAACATTCAATCATGAAAAGTAATCATCAAAGTAACCTGAACCGAGTGATGTAATGAATGGATTCGAACGTCTATCAATAGACCTTGGTGACGGTTAGCATGAAATACTCGATTAGTTCTAGTACAGAGCAGAATCTTTCAGCATAGTTAGTACTTATGTAGTCCTACTATGTAAGAGTCTCAAGCGTATACCCCATTATTTGTAGAAGTTACGAGTTTTTCCGCTTTTCTCCATTTCCGCTAGAAAAAACTGAAACATGGCTATAACTTTTGAACGAAGAGCCATCGGGATAAATCCATTTAGGCTTCTTACTAGGCCGATATACTCTATCGATCGACGTGTGAACGAATGAAAACTGTGCGTGTTACCTACGAACGTTTCGTCGTAAGAAATAATCTTTTACTTGTTTAGTAATGGTTATCTCAGTGAGAGACGAATGGCATCGAAATGTTTAAACTTCTATACGCAGTTGCATCACACAGATTCATTTCTAAGATTTCTTTTGTCTCTATAGAAATGGATGAAGAGAAACATAAAAGGAATTCATCTTTTCTGTTTATGGTAAATGTTACATAAAAAAGTAACAGAAACGAAATCTTTTTATTTACTACCAAACAAGTGTTAAAATATATGAATAAAACTATTCGAATAATCAAAAAAAGAACAATACCAAACGAACCAACATCTTTTTTGTACGGTCTCAACTGACTCGAAAAACATGTGGTCTAGACAAATCAAAAGATATGAACAGCAACTTTCAAAGCAATAAAAAAGTTTTCTTTTGACATAGCATGTATCTTATTAAGGTTTCATTCTAAAAATGTCAACTAAAACCGATGATTATTCTCTCGATGAAGAGCGTATTGTTGACATTAAACAACATGAAGACTATCTATATTGTTCAATATGTCGAAATCCGTTATGGAAACCTGTTTCATGCAAGGCATGTGAAAAAACATTTTGCAGACAATGTATTCAACAATGGCTATCACAAAAAGATTGTAATAGATGCCCATTCAATTGTAAATATGAAGAAAAACGTTGTTCACCGTTATTAAATTCATTATTATCAAAAGTACGAGTTATCTGTCAATATAAAGATTTTGGTTGTCAACAAATTATTTTGTATGAATCATTAGAAAAACATGAAATGGAATGCGATTATCAAACAGAACAATGTCATGGGTGTAAGAAAGAACTTTTAATGAAAGATCTCAAACAACATGAAGAATATTGTGACCAAATTCTTGTTCATTGTGATCTATGTCATTGTAACATTAAACAACCACAAATGAAATGTCATGTTGTTGATTGTTTTAAAAAACAGTTAAAATTAGCTAGAACAGATTTGACCAGATTGATGGAAAAGTATGAGAACGAGAACAAATCAGCTTTAAAGACGATTCATCAAACAACACAAAGATTGCAGGAACAATATAGAATATTAAACAGTTCGATAGTTAATGATACAAATGAACTAAATTGTGATTTAGTCAAAGTAAAGAGTACATTAGCGGAATTTCAGGCTAGTATTAAAATATTACAAAATACAAGTCATGCACAAAGTATGTTATTATCAAAATTTACGACTATCGGATCTGAAGTTGAAACTTCGATAAAAACGAATGATAACAGATTTCAGGCGGTTGATCAGCGAATAAACGAAACCATACAATCAATTGATAAAGACAGATCTAGGGTACATACATTACAAACTAGAATTCAAACGTTTTCTGATAAAACTGCCGAACAAATAAATACATTAGAATCTAGATTTCAGTTGTTAAACGATCAACTACAACAAATGGAATCTACTGTCGAAGAATTGAGTAATAAATTACAGTATGCAATTTTTGCTATAATTGCCATAGTTGCTATAGTTATATGTGCTATTTGTATTAAATGTAGTACATTAGTAATAACCGTTACTATCCTCGTCATCTTTTTATGTATTGTACTGGAACTGAAGGACGATGAACGGTCGTAAATATATTTGTTTGATGATAAATCATGTGTTTATTTGGCTTTTTTTTAATTAAAAGTACAAAGCATGTTGATTTTTGTTAAGGCAACCGTCCTTCTTTTTCTACACCTTGTTAGCACAGATGGAAACAGCGATCTGATTGAGCCTAAATGTATATCGGAGATAGAGCATCGGAATGGAAAGTTGATGTGTTTTTTTCTCAGACTTATCGGACAAAGTTTTGATTATGGATTTCTAGAAATCTAGTTATTAACAACGTCACATTACGACTCTCCTAAACTGTGATGCGATAGGGCAGAAAATTTTATCACAAATATCTGAGACCTTAAGCTTTTTTTCTTCTATGGCTTTCCTTGTCGCTTATATTATTTGAGATACAATTATTCCAATTATCTGATACCATGTATAGATGAAAGTTCAGCGCGGGAAAATTAAGCGCAGGTTAGATCGGTGACAAGAAAAATTGAGCCTACTGATATTTTATGTAGAAAATACTTTTTATCATATATTTTAGATGAATACACAGTTATTATTGATACTAACACCATTACTAGGAGCAATGGTAATAACTCAATCAATGGTTTTCTACAAAATCATTTCTACGAAAGATTTTTAGCTGTAAGCATATCGCAGTGTAATGTATTTTAAACGCATTAGGAGAGATACATTATAGTAGGACTACGTTCATAACCTTTCTTTATTATTTAGTCGATCATTAACAACAGATAATACTCGCATAATTGAATGAGAATTCTTGAACACACAGCTTCCATTGCTTTACCAACGAAAACCTTGTTAAGTGAAAGTCATTTTCTACTTTGGTTCTTTGTTTTGTTCAAATTTCTCAAGCATAAACTTTTCAAGGTTAACTCAGATCCAAACCCTTTCTGAAGGTAACGATAACATGATTACAATGAGGAGATTACCTCACAGCAGCGAGCTTTTGGTGCATGGATCTCACTTGTAATTCCACTCCATCACTGTCAACAGTATTATCGTCCATGTTTCCATTTGACTACTGATCCAAATAATTCGCCGCCTCAGAAACAAGCTTTAACATACGTTTTCGAATTCAGCATGAAAAAAGTACACAATACAAACCGATACGTGCAGCACTTTGAACACCACTATCTACATCTGTCGAACATACACATCAGCTTAGCATCTTCGCTTCCCCAAAATTATACTGTACGACGCACCATTACTCCAACAAGCAATTGCAAGAGCACGAAATTTTGAAGACAATATATTTGAAGAAGCTCTGATACCTACACTAGTACAGCTTTGAACATCTTTTATTTTTCAGATCTGTATTTTCTTTCATAGGGCATAAGACACAAAGTCAGGCGCCCTATTTCGTTGTTAGGGGCGAGAGAGCGAGAGAGAGATCCGCTTGGAGCAATCGGATGTTTATTAGATACTGCCCTAGAAGTCATCATTAACCCAAACAAACATCACCTATGAGAAAAATCTAGATACATTTCGTCTGTAATCGGGCTATACACGACTGGTTGTTATCTAAATTACTAGTTGGAAAATCGACTTCTAACTAGATGTGTCTGCATGTGTAACTAGCAATAGTTAAATCAATCGATTATCGAGCGATAAATCAATAGTTGCAACTAGAAGAAATCTAGCAATCGTCAGATTACTAGATTTTCACTGTCGTTACCCAATAGTTGCAATTGAGTAAAAATCTAGTAATCTAGATGAATCGAGCGATACTAGATTTTTTTGACGCTTGGGTAACAGCCTTAATAATACAAGAGAGTTGTTCTTTGTCAAAAATATGGTATCTGTATTAGGAAATACTCAGATACTAACAAGGGAAATATGACTATATTTGTAAACAAAATATCCAAAAGACACAGTAGAGAACTAAAGGGACGGGAAAAAATACTCAAGGAGGACTGCAATGCTAAAACATCTAAAATAATAAAATGACCTAAAATGACTTCCACGATGAGTCAATCCCCACAAAATACTGACTCAATGTTGCCAAATAGCAGCATCCAGCTAGAAAGGGTTAAAGTACTCGATATATCAAGCCTCATTTTCTTTTCTGATTGTTTGTACTTCTTCAAAGACAATTAATCGCCGTGTTTCGAAAGACTATTTATTTATCACGCTAGCAACAACTCATTTA